TGGAGGGATTGGATCCTGCACAATTGTGTGATGTTGAAGATCCTCAACAAGTGAGGTGATGGTGCTGATCATCCAGTGGAGCAAGAGTAATTCGGGCTGGTGTGTCACTGATGGGGCCAAGTATGGTATTGGATTGTCCGGTAAGTAGTATCTGTGGTGTGTAGTGGGTGGGTCAGAGGAGATGGTAGTTGTCGCTGAATGGGGGGGTAGAGTGGGTCGTAAATCATCGCTAGGCATCATCTCGCAGAGGCGGCGAGCAGTTATGGAAAAAACAGTTCGGTCAAAAGGCTGCGGGAAACATGGTGACATGCTATGCTAGGGTGAGCCTGAGGGAATGAAAAACCGAAGGTTCCGAAAAGAGTGGCGAAAGCAGAAGGACCTGAAAACAACTTGTCACTGCATGTCAAAGGATTTGTCCTGCGGCACGCCGGAGAGAAAGCGGGGTGAAACAGATCATATGAAATAGCTGCCAACAGGCGTGTGTGGAGATTTCTCCGGATGACTGTTCTCACTAGGCGCTCGCTCAGCAGCCGGCGGCAGCAGCACAGCAGCTGGAGGTGATCGATGTGGTGAAGTCGGTGGTGTTGTCTTGGGAGAAGGGGAGAAATCCGGTTGTGAATGTGGTGGTGGGGAAACTGCTGGTGAGGTGGGTGTTGGTGAGAGGGAAGGTACTTGTCGTGGTGGTTCTATTTGTAGTGGCGTGGAGGAGAGTTGCTGGTCTTGTAGATGTTGCATGTCTTTGAGTTCTTGCCATCGGGCTTGGCATTGCTCGACGGAGAAACCCACTCGGCGAGCAACAGAAACCCAGTTGGGACGGAGTCGAGGGTTCCCTTTGAGTTCAACCAGGCGGCAATCAGCGTCGCCGTCCCATGCGTCCCAGTCTGCTTGCTGGTTCGGTAGTGGTGGTAGTGGTTGCTTAGGCTTGCGTGTTGTAGCGGGTTGTGGAGCTGGGGCTGTTGATGGTGTGTCGTCGGAGTCTTTTGAGAGTGGCGCTGGTAAGCGGATGGGTGGTCGAGATGGTGCTGAATCACAGGAGGAGGTGGTGGACGGTAAACGTATAGGGTGAGTTGGCGGAGTTGGTAGTGGCTGAAAATGTTGGCGGAAAGTGGGATCCGCTTGGTGGATGTGGTGGAGAAAGTGAGTGTGAAGGTGTGCTACAATATCTGTTGCTTGTCTGAGCAGGTTTTGGACCTGCGAAAGTACCACAGCGGTCTGATGTAGGAGAGTTTGGGTGTCATTGTGTGGAGGTGTCAGTGTGCTGCTCATGACTTGGAGATAGAGGGATGTACAGTCACACAGGGTCGTCACAGGTTGCTGCGGCAGCGCGCCAAGGCAGCAGGACGGCAGCTGGTCAGCAGGAGCACGCCATCACGGGGCCGTGCGTATGAATTAAACGAGCATCAAATTCCCGCGGGCGTGGTGCGAAAAATGCAAGTCCGACTGGAAGATCAAGTGCAGAAAACTCCAACATGTAAAGAAAACTTCATCCAAACAGCAAGTGAAATTCGGAAAGAGATTCTGCAAAACGAAACCCTCAGAGCTTGAAAAGTTGAAAGCGCAAAATTCGCATGACCGCTGTAAAGGGCTTTTTGCTGCTATAGGCGAAGGTTTGTGTGGTGGTGTGAGACAAAAGGTGGAGGTAGAGGTGGTAGTAGTGTGGAGGTGTTGGACGGTGGTGTTACATGTCGGGTGGAGTGGAGTCAGTGGACCAGGCCAGTCCTTTGACGATGGCGTGGTCCGGGTGGATCGCCCAGCAGCGGCCCTTCTGGTGGAAGACGGCGCCGTGGTAATCGTTGAGGAGGTTCATGGCATGTTCCTCCCCTCCGGAGGTGTATTTTGTGGCGGCGCCCCAAGCAAGGAGTGTGACGATGAGGGAGTGGGAGTTCTTGTGGAGTTGCCAGGTGTTGTGGATGATGCGAGCAAATTCGCTCTGATCATGGGGTTGATTGTGGGTGATGCGGACACCCTGGGCAAAAAAGCCAGGGTAGTTGGCAAAGTGAAGTGTGCTGGGTAAAAATCGACCTTGGCGTAGAATGTTGGCAATGTTGCCGACCGGGCCTGTGTGGCCGGCGTTGATGTGGGCGACTTCCCGGTGGGTTGAAGTGGCTCGGGAAACTGCGGGTGGTTCAGGTGTGGTGGCCCTTGTGTTGAGGAAAGGAAGTGAGATGGCGTAGTATTGGAATTGGTCATATTGGCGAGTGGTGTCGTTCCACTTGGCGTGGGTATATTGCCGGAAATCGGTGATCTCCTTGTAGGTGATGTTGCAGTCGGTGAGGAGATTGGCAATGTACTGGTGCTGTGGTCGGTTGGGGGTGTCGAGTTGGTTGGCGTGGAATTCGAACCATTCTAGGAGTTGGTCTGCAGGTGAAAAAGCGTGAAAGTTGGGTGGAGGTCGCCAACGGTTGATTGGGCGACGAAGGACTGCTGTGGTGGGATATTGAGAGGGGTCGGTGTTGGTGTGTTCAGTGTTGGGGCGTAAGTCGATGGGTTGTGGTGAGCGGCTGCGGGATGGTGTAAGGCTGTATGAGTAAGTGGATGTTGAGGGTGAACGGCGTCGCCGGGTTGTGCTGTGGTGCTTTGAGTGGCGGTGATGTCGATGCCGGCGGCGGTGGTGGTGGCGTCCTCGGTGGTGATGATCGGACTTGCGCCGGCTCTTGTGGTGGTGGCGGCGACTGCTGTGTTGTGGCTGTGGGGAAGGTGGTGGTGGTGCCGGGGAGGCGGTGCTGTCTGGCTGGTCTGTTGCAAGTAGTGAAGGCACAGGAGCTGGTGGTGCGGATGCAATGGATGGTGATTTGGAAGGTTGGGAGCCAGTGGCTGGAGGGGTCACGTTTTGGACCAGTATTGAAGGGTCCGTGGCTGTTGTGGTGACGCGTTGGACCAGTTGTGGGGTCCGATGGCGCCTGTTGTGGGAGTGAGGGTTGAACTGGTGGTGGGGCGCCGATGGCTTGTGGAGGGGGCGGCGGAGGCAACGGTTGAGGTGGAGGCTGTGTGACTGGGGGAAAGACTGAGTAAGGTTGCCAAACTCCCTGGGGATGGCGCATTGTGGGTCTGTGGATGGATGATGGGCAACTGCTGCTTGTTGTGGTGTTGGAAGGGGGTGTGTCTGTGTAGTGGGGGTAGGTTCAGCAGGTGATGTGGGATGTAGTTGTGGCAACATGTATGAAGGGGAAGGTGCTGCGGATGGAAACACTGGAGTTGGGTGTGTGGGTTGCGGTGGCAGTTGAGATGGTTGCACAAACGTCCAGGTGGAAGGAGTGCCGTAGGTTAGTGCAGTGGCGGTTGGACTGGGCATAGTAGGTGGCGCTTGAAATGGTTGTGGTTGTGGGTGGGGGAATGCCGATGGTTGTGGCGAGGGGAAGGTGGGTGCAGTTGGCGGCTGTGGCAGCGGCCATGTGGGTTGAGGTTGTGTGGTAGGTAATGGTGGTGGTGTAGCGTGAGCATATGGCCATGGAAAATGCATATCGTAGTCGGCGCTATGGCACGGCGCGGCGCAGCAGCAAGGATGCGGCGGAAAAGTGCCGAGTTGTACTGTCATAGTGTTGTTGAAAATCTCATCGCTCGTGTTGACGGGGAGTGTGTTGTAAGGTGGTGCTGGATGTGAGCTTGTTGTCAAGTGTGATCATGCATCTCGAATTAGATTGGAGAACTCCAATGCACAAGCTTGAGTTCTGCTGATGAAAGAGTCACGGCATTAATGTAAGATTGCAACATGTGGAAAAAACAAGCATGAAAGATCCGAAATCTGATGTATTCGAAAGTAACCGTTTTTGGGCCCGGCGGCCAGTGTATCGGTTGATTCAGTGAGGGTGTCGGTGACTGCCAGTGAGGGTCCAATGAGCGGTGGTGCTTTGGGATGGTTGCTTTCCCATGTAAAAACGGTGCCCCTGTGACGGGGATCACACTCAGCGCCCGAGTGGGACGGCTGAGCGAAACACACTCTGACACTTGTATTCAGTGAACTCAGTTACCACGTTGGGAAGAAAGGCGGTGGAACAGCATGGCGGAAAGTCCGAGACAATTGTAGGTGTTTCAACAAGTGGTTGGTCAAGTCTGCAGAACGATCGGTCGGCGCGGCTCAGCTGCAAGACAACGCGGCAAAGGGAGGGTTTAGGGGAAGTATCATGGAACCACCATGACAGCAAACCAAAGGAAGAGTGGAGTCACAGCTTGATAAAACGGCAGGTACGCAGGGCTGATCAGGCCCTGCTTCCCACTCTCGCCCACAGCTTCGTTGCGTGTGGTAGGGCGAGGGTGCCACACGCCCCTGCCTGTAAGGAGTGGTGGTGGAAAACCCTTTGTCCAGGGGTGGACACACACACACACATACACACACACACACACACGAACACCAGTGATTGACACACCACGGCCACAAAGCAACGCAGCTTTTGCACGAAGCAGTTCTCACAGCAGCGATTGGCACCTTTCTCAAAGCAACGGCAGCTTTTGCAGCGATTGGCACCCGCGCGGCCTTTTATACATTTACACACCACAGGTTCCTATACAAAGCGCCCACCGCCATAACCAGGACGTGGTATCACACCGGACCACACCACATACACTCATGCATGCTACGTGCCATACGACGGCGTAAAAGTGTACCAGTGTACCAGTGTGCGCGCTATGGTACTAGACCGCACGCCAGGCACCACACACACTACGAGGAGCCAACTTCAGGTTTTACACCTGCAAACCGCTTAACCTCTACCAACGTGTGTGGTTCCGCTTGACTTTGCACTGCGAGAGTGGGCTCTATGTTCGCATTGCTTCCAGCATAATGGGCGCCTGGTGGGTCCTATAGAAGAATCGTCGCAAGCAAAGTGAATCATGAGCATCGCAAGTGCGGCGCCTTTCATTTTTCGAGATTTCATTTGATAGAGGCCACCGTTGATCAGACATGGTGAGGCCTCAACTGATAGACAGAAACTGGGTTCCAAAAAAAGGGTCTTCCGTACATGCCCAGTCCTCAGTGAACTTCTGATTCTTTCTCATGGCATGAGGACTGCGGATACTTTCAGCTACAACTCATCCATCAGCGCTTGCAGTGTGGCTTGGACCCAATCGTTGCAATGCTTTGGCGACATGGCCGGCGTGATGACACGTGATTTGGTCGCCTACAACGCTGCTTCTCACGCATTGGGGTCTTCCGGCTTTTGGATGCAAAGCTTGAGGTTCCTCAGCGGCATGAGCGAAATAGGCTCCCTCGCCATCCGGTGGCACACGGTCCTGGTGTAGTCGGCTTGAATGGCCTTGTTACTTTGGTACAGGCCCTAGGTATGCAATACATATTTGTCACGATATATCCGCATATACATAAATTAAGTGCAAACACAGCTAGACGTGTTCACAAGTCCGAGGTTTCACCAATACATGAAGATGCCGTTTGAGTAAAGTCAAGGGAAAGGTTTGCAGGTTGTGCGGTTGAGGCTGTTTTACTTTGCCTTGCGAGATCGGGTTGAACATCTCGACCCAGCAGCATACGGCACTTTAGTGATGGCATGTGGGAGTGGCTTTCAATGGTCATTTTCGTTGACTTACTTGAGGGCAATGACGAACATGTCTTTCTATCCACACATTGGCATTACAAGTTCTGCAGTGAGCGGCTGTGAGAAGAGTGGCCAACCATTCTGTCCTCAAGGGACACCGCACGGCCTTTCACACTCCATCTCTCCGTCAGCGGGGCCTGTTTGATCAGATCTCTCCAGCGAAATGACACCCGCTCCCCCAGGAGCAGATGCAGACCAGTTGAATTGAGGAAACGCTAGGAACCTCTCCTGCTTGGGCAAGTGCCACCAGCTGCAACACGCTGCAATGCAAGTACTTGGCCAGTTCAGAGATGCAGCTTTGGCTGCATGCAGTTGTACGACCAGCGCCAACAAGGCCGTTCATCTCAAACGTCGGCCTCACTCTGCCGGTGGGATGAACGGCCTTGCCATTTCCCCACTCCACCAAATTGGCCAAGTGCCACTACCTGAGAGGATGGCTTGGAGACTGTGAGAGTCGGGCGGTGTGAAAAGTCACGTGGAGCTCGTGGAACACGATTTGTGATATTTTGTGATTAGTTGGGGTCCTGGTTCGTTTCTGTCGATTACTGCATCAGTATGAGTTATGAGTCATGAGTCTTTCTAGATTCTAGCATCGTTAGTCTCCTACACGAATAGCATAATCACGATCACAAAAATTTACTGTAGTTGGCGCGGAAACCCTAAACATGGCCAGAGAGCATGCCTGCTTGCCGGCCTGCGATAACCATCTCATTTCCAAAGCAAGCGGAGGAGAGGTACTGGGCTCTAGGTCTCCTGTTTCCATATATTTCCATACAATTGCCGGCCTTTGGACATCCATTCAGGATATTTCAGGATTTGGTGGATAAGCATGCCTTCCAACCCACTGTGAAATTCTCAACCCCAACTCCCCAAAATTTATCTCCCCGACTATTACCATTGCTGCGCTATATATATTATATATAAGTATGTGTGTGTATGTACTGTACATGGCATGTTGTGTTTTTGCCAACCTACTCGTACTACTGTATAGACATCTTCCATTATGCGCCAGGATAATGATGCCTTTGGCCTGCCTTTTGGCGAAGATGGCCCTGACAGGCAGGTGGGCTCTGAATATAGCAGATGTGGCTCCAGAAGCGGAGCATAGATGGGTATGGGTATACGGGATTATACTAATACGGGTATGGGTCGCACTTGTATATATATATATATATGCGTGTTTTGTCAGGCTTCATGCCCTTCGTGCTGGCACTGGTGCTCATTTTTGCTCATTGAGTCGGTGGCTGTCAACTTCGTGGCCTTGTCTCTAGAGGTTCTCAACTTGGCACCCAGTTGTTGCCAAGCTCGGCGCATTCTACTTCCAGAGTGTGTTTCACATTGGCACGCCTGAAGCAGCTTTCTACTGTCTCACTGGCAGCCGCATTTCTCGTACAGAGACGGACTGCATTTCTCGTGTCATCAGACGGGCAGTTGTGAGTCGGCATTCTGCAGTTTGCTGGGTGCTACCAGCTTTACGTGCAAAGACCTGGGGAGATCTCGGTCGCTGCTAAGCTAATGTCCAGCAGCATGGCCTACGCATTTGTCAATGGCCTGAGTGCGGTGGCTTACAAGCTTCAAGCGCATCAACATGAAAAAAAAGGTATCCCCAACGCGGGCTTCATGCTTGAGTCAACAAGGTTGTTCCCAAGCTTTACCACGTTCAGTTTATGAGCAGTAATCAGTAATCAGTGACGAATACAGACATTTGTCCTTGCCTTGCTTACAGCTAGAGATCCAACCTCGTAGAAGACAAGAAGGTCTTCGCGCATCCTTTGCACCGTGTTCGGAAAAGGTGCCTCCTTGCATTGCTGGTGGCTTCCCAAGGCTCCTGAGGCTACTGAATTCATGTGGTGTTTGTTAGACTAGGTAATGGTCCCAAGGGGGAGTTTGAGCACCCGAAAATGCAGATAGTTGCATCGCCATGGGACCGGCGCCTTGTCAACACAATCCGAAACGTTGGTTCTGGTACTGAAATTGTCACTGAGTGTTGAGTATTGAATGTCAAACAAACATGCAGAGTGGAGCAACACTGTCAGAATATGGAGTTTCGTGAGGGCATGCAAAATAGCTCTGGAAGCGTCACAGCATATATATTGATAGTTGGGTAAGCCAATATGCGTTCATGAAACAGCTTATTTTTAAAAGGTTGTGTTTTTACGCTTATGGTTGCTCAAAAAATTATGATGCTTCTGGGAATATTATGAAAATTCTGATGATCGTCAGAAAATTCTGATGATCGCCAGAACATTCTGATGATAATCAGAAAATTCTGATGATCGTCAGAAAATTATAATACCTCCGTGGGTGGAATCTGCAATATGTGCTTTTTTGGTGAAACGTACCTTATTTGATGTATAATTTGAATACACATATGATATGAAGGTAATTTGTTTGCGCATGCATTTTTGGACCACATAAAAGGGATTGGACCCCTAATCTCACAGTGGTACCGGTGTCTCGGAATCAGCTTCTGACATTCTGACAAGTGATTTCTGCAGATTGCAGATCACAGAATAAAAAAATCAGAAGAATGAAGAGTTGCAGCAGAATAGGACTTTGTTTGTGTCACTTGTGTTCCTATGTTCTTGTTGATTGGAATTTGCACGGTCCATCACTCCATGTGATTTTATGAAGTTCCATCACCATGACTTTGAACACCTCAAACATTACAACTTCAGTCAATATGCGTTTTAAGTGTCCAATCTGTTAAATTTAATATATATGGCAACCTTGAATCCAATTTCACACTTGGAAAACGCATATGAAGGCTCCACAATCACAAATTTCTGATACCCTTCTCTCGTGAAACTTAGTATGTCAGAATCAGAATATATCACAACTGCAAAATTCCCACCAAGCATGACAAATCAGAACGGTTTTCCGATTAGCTGGAATCCTTGTCCCTTAATTGGGCTTAAAGAGCTTCGATCGATTTCAAACGCGTGTGTGCATGACGCACTTCCAATGGAACGCCATTCGCCCCCGACCCCCCCCCCCCCCCCCCCCCCCCACCCACATCTATACATCCTTGACTGGACAATGTTGTGCAATCGATGATGCAGTTGCGCAATCGATGACTATGATACTGGTGCGACTGTTGTGCAATCGACGACTATCTTCTGGACCGATAACAAAAAGTGTGCAAACGGCTCTGCGGAACCATCAACACGTTGCAGAGCCAACACTCTCCCCAGCGGCCCTGCAGTACTGCAAAATGCTGTAAATACATGTAAATACCACATGGCCAGATCGAAGGATCTTCCATGATCGTCCTTTTTCCTGGACAAAAACCTTTATTAACACAATGGTTCTTCATTAGACTAACAACTAAAGCTTTCGAAAGGTGATGTCGCTGTTCCATGCCCTTTTGCGCGGCCTCGGTGGCAAGTGTGTTTGCGTGAGTCCGTGCCATTGGCGGAAGGAAAACCTGCTGGTGTAAAAAAGGGTGGACAGAGGTGGGCAGTTAGGGTTGTTTTTGGAACCTAACAAAAGAAACTACACCAAAATCGGCCAGGTAGTTTTGTAGCGGCTTGAAAGGGCGGTAATGTCAAAGCAAACATAAGCCGTATTTAGAGGTTTCCGACATGGTGCTTTTGATCGGGGAGTGTTTTTTTGATAGGTGCTCGGATTGTAGGTCATTCCAAATCTAGTTCTTTGGCTTGTTGAAACCCTATCCTCCACACCGTAGAAACTACTTCAGCAAGGCCGGAGCCCCACAACGCAAGCATACATATGTTACATAAGCACTCACCACGGGCATAATTAGTGAACTATGGCATTAGCAGGTTGTTTTATTGCAAGGGTGGTAAACACGCTCGATCTTTTTTATTGCCTTTCGCCGGGGCTGCTGCTATACTGTTATTTCTCTTCCAGCAGGACCTGTTAGCCAATTTGGGGGCTTGCTGTGGCGCCTTCACAATGCAAGAAAAGCCAAGACTTTTTTGCTATCAGCCCCACCCTTTAGAAACATGCCATCGATCTATTCTAATTGATGCTTACATGGACCATCACCAGCACCCTGTTTCTCGGGTGCAGACCACGCGGCCCTGATGGATATGTCACGTCTATTGAAACCGGCTCAGGATGGATGCTAAGTCCAGGTCTTCGCTTGTTGTGGGCCAAAAGCCCTGCGCAAGATTACGGCCCGCTTAGAGAAGAGAAATACGTACACGATACCAAAAACAAGCGCACACAGCAGCGGCACCCTGCAGCGGCACCAGCCACCAGCACCCAAGCGCACACAGCAGCAGCGCCCTGCAGCAGTACCACCGCCCAACCTCCCAAGCGCACACGGCAGTGGTAAAACTGCAGCAGTGGCAGCGCCCAAGCCCCCAAGCGCACACGGCAGCACCCAAGCTCCCTTAACCTCCGAGAAGCTCAGTTTTCGCCAAGGCAAGGCAAGGCAATTTCCAAAGTGAAGGCCAGCCATGCATGGAAGGCTTTTGCTTCCTTTGGGTATTTGAGATGCAGCGCGAAGGCCACCGAAAAAAGCTACATCCATGCCAATGAAATGAATGAGAAGTGCTATTGTTTGGTGAATGCGCAAAAGATGGGGCCGACCATGCAGCTGTGGTGCAAGCGTATAGGAAATTAAACCCTTGCCCACCCCCCCATGAACGCAGTGTGAGTGTGTGCGTGGTTCGCATACGAAGCTTAAACCGTAGGCCCCGCGCATGCGCCCCAAACTTGCAACATGAAACATGTAAAACGCCTTCCAAACCTTCAAAACGGTACAAACGGTGGTTTAGCTTGCAGCCCCGGTTAGCGTCGTAGGCTAAAACGATCTAAAACGACTGGGTTGAAATCACAGCGGCCAAAGAGTCAAAAAGATGAACCCACATTGAACCACGGCCTCTCGTCAACACACAGACCACTTTCTTCACCAGATACTCCCAGGCGCGGAAGTCCATTGATAAACAAGAGCTGGACGAGAGAGGTTGCCAGCAAGAGTTGCAGTAGGGCTGGGGTTGCCAACAAGAGTTGAAGTAGGGCTGGGCAGCCGGGTTTTGTGTTTACCAATGCATGGCTTTGCCATTTGCACGCAGCCTCTTGGCTAGCCGACCAGTCTTCAGAATGGCTTGGGGCATGGGGCATGGGGCTGAAAGGTAATTTGACAGGCCAGCAACCACAGAGTTTGCCGTATTCTTTTCGCTGCGAGTTTTGCTCCGAGCAAGTTCCCATGTAATTTTCATCCAAAAGGTGTTTTGTTGATCGGAACGTAATTTGTGCATATTTGTGCAATGCGCCAGCTCAGCCACACACCGCGCAAACCATCAGATCCCATCACTTATCACTTGCTTCATTTGATCATTGGTAGTCTTCCAGGCGCGCTATCATGGCACTCTGGTAGATGCTGCAACGGCACCTTGTTCCAAACTGAACTCTCAGATTTGACGACAGATTTCTTGACCAGCTATGTAATGTTTGCTGCGCTGGATGTGCTTAGGCCGTCCTTCAGGGTGCCAAACTGGCAGGAGGCTTTGAGAGTTTGGTGGTCAGAAGGGACCTTTGAACGCACATGTTCCCCGTTACTTTCGTGACCCCTGCTGTGGCTGAACAGCAGATTCCAAGGATTGGAGGCCACCGAAGCGTCTTGCTTACTTGTCACAGCGCTGGTGAGTGGCAACATGTACTGTCTACGTTTGCGGAGCTTGCGACAAAGCGCATCGCTCCCGACAAGAGCCCTGCCAGGGAGAGCTTCCAGAAGATTCACGACGTATCGTATCGTGTATATCTGTATATATATATAGTATAACAGAACGGGCCCACCTCGTTTCGCATCAAAAACAAATTGCTTTACGTCGAGTGATCCCCATGGCATGGTGAGGAGCGCACGTTGCCATGGACAGGTTTTGTGGTTTTTGGTTTTGCTTGTGGGTTTTGGAATTGCTATTTTAGTGTTGGGGAGTTCACGTCTGGGTGTCGCCAGGGTCTCCAGCTGGCGTCCAAAAGTGCTACCCCATGACCACCTGCCACGCAAAACGACACACACACACACTTAGATTGATGCTCGCAAGAGCTGAAACAGTTGACGACGGTCCACTTTACTGCAATGAGACCTTTACACGCAATTAGACCTTGGCTGAGGGAACGGAAAGGTGAGAAAGTCCAGAACAACAGAAATGTTTTACTGCACTCATTAGCCGCTTACTGCAAAACACCGTAGTGGACAGCTTGAAAGTGGTTCAAACATGTGCTGCAGGTACGTCCAGCTGGCCAAGCTGAAAGTCCCACCAGATTGCATAGCTTTGTTGGACGCGGTCTGCAATCTGGCGCCGTGTCCCCCTGCCTCTTTTTTCTTTCTCTCAAATGCTCTAAAAACTTACAGCATGTGAAGGCCTTAGAAACAGGCGTTGACACACACACTCTGACATTGGTTTTCAGTTACACTCAGTTCCCACGTTGAGAAGGAAGGCGATGGAACGGCATGGTGAAAGGTCCAAAGACTTGAAGGTGTTTTAACATTGAGGTTTCTCATCTGCAGTGGTGCGACGACGAACGACGCGCGCGAGCGGCGAGGGAAAGGGTTTAGGGGAAGTAGCATGAACCACCATGGAAACAAACAAAGAAAGAGTGGAGTGACAGCTTGTACAACAGTTCGGCAGGTACGTTTGCAGCCCCCCCCCCAGTGGCCTCTTCGTTGGCCATCCGCCACTGGGGAGGGGGATGGCCCCCTGCTTGCAAAGTTGTGAGAACCAAAGAAGAACAGCGCCCTTTGGAACAGGGGTTGACACACACAGGGAGCCGAAGTCGGCGCAGGATGTGCTCGTGCTTGTTCTTGTGGAGGAACTGGAGGATGTGGATGTGCTGGATGTTCCAGTGGATGTGCTCGCGCTTGTTCTTGTGGAGGAGGTGAAGGATGTGGATGTGCTGGAAGTTGTTGTGGATGTGCTTGTGCTTGTCGTCGTGCTGGAGGATGTGGATGTGCTG